ATCCTCTGCCAGAGTTTCTCAGACCCTTAAACTCTCCCACCTTCTCTGTCCCCCCAATTTTAAACATCATTGAGAAAGGCCATACCACAGAATTCCTCGCACTCTCTTTTAAACTCATTTGTTTGACTTTGTTAAGTGTAGAAGGGGCACGAGAGGTGGCAACCTCCAGGGAGTCACCCGATGAAGTTAGGCCCTTGGTTTCTCCCACCTGCAGAACCCATGCAGAACACTTGACCTTTCCACTTGGCTCTCAGGCACCTCTCTCCCCAGCAAGTCTCCCTCAGCCCACCACCCCAGGCCCGCAAGTCCACACATACACATCTTTTATGAACTTTAGTGTCATCTACACATAGGTGACCTTCAGGTTCCATGAAAGGACAGTGTTTCTCTGGGGCCTCCCAATTCTTGCCTGGGGAGTCACTTGGTCAGGCCTACCCAACAAAATATCATTTTTCTTTAGCAAGAATGAAAAATGCCTGTGTGGCACACCAATGGCATCAATTTAGGTCAGCGAAGGCTGGATTTAGTGTTGCAAATTAGTTGTTGCAAGCTCTGATTCCCCCAGCAGGGGAATCCAGGTTTCTCCTATCCTAGACGGGAAGAACCCAATTTCTCCAAAGGCAGAGATGGGTCTCGCAACTGTGAAGGAGTAGGGGACGGGAAACTCCATCAGAGGATGTGTGAGAGGTGGTTTTTGTTTTCCTAATCATTTTTTGTGGACAGATCTGAAGTGGATGGCTCAGGCATCCATGTAACCTGTACCCCAGCACCTAAGAAAGTCCCCTCGTGCCCCTTTCCAATCAGTTTCATTCCTTTCCCTCAATGGCAACCCTGGTTGATTTCCTTCCCTGTAGTAGTCTGGATTTTGACTTGGTGGACTTGAAATCTTTAACCTTGGTCTTATGTCACTGGGCAAATCAGCAAGAGAATCTCATCAGAGACTTAATAGTCTCTGCTGCCTTAGCATTGTAGGGGGCCTTTCTGGGGCCCCCATTGTTGGGCTCTGCTGCCCCTGACATGCCATCTGACCCCTAGGGCTACTCTCTGGGCCTCAGCCCTCCTCCCAGCCAGAGTTTAGCATCAGTCTTCCAGGTAAGTGGCAAAAGCTCGCGGTCACCCAGATAGTGCATGCTTTGTTGATTAATATCTGGACGTGCAATGCACAGAGCCGCAGCATGTCAAGCAGCATGTTGATTCTCCTTAAAGTACTGCACAAAAGGAAGCTGTTCCTTTTGTGTGTTTCGTTTCAGAAACAAAGGATGCCAAGATCACCTTCTTCCAGGCATCTAGCCATCAAGATGGCTGCAGAGCAGAAGCGATTAATCAGAGTGGAGGGTGGGAGTTGAGCGTGTGGGTGTTTGTGAACCCGGCCCTGAGCCCATGGTCCGTGAAATTGAAGGATCCCAAATTCCGGATTACACTTTGCCAAATGTCTTGAAGGTGAAAAGCGCTTTGTCTGTATGCAAAGCTTTGGTGTCCCTGGAATGTACCTTCTGCAGCTCAGTTCTTAATCACTGTATACTTTTTCACTTGGACAAAGGCTGCCTGCTAATAGCATTTTCAACCATCCTCAGCTGCTTTGCTCAGCTACGCCAAGGCCTCAGGCTGAGCTGGCTGCAGTTTCCTGGCACCATGATCCATTCCCGACTGACCAGCACTGAGGAACATCACACATTCACACCCTGAAAAAAACTGCTTCCTCTGTAACTATGCAAATTCCAGGCATAGGCAGAAAGAATTACCATTCCCTTTCCTAAGTGGTTCCCTCAGGATCACCTAAACTGGAGGCTTGGCTAAGAGGGCCAGGAGGGAAGATGGAGATCAGGAAGGTGCAGGGAGCTCTCCTGTCTCTGGGCAGAGCAACTAAGAGCCTCAGGAGCCTGTGCTTTGGGATAGCTCATCTCTGAACATAGGTAGCCCCTGCTGTCACATTTCACTTTAATCACAGAAAAACTACAAGCGCCTCAGCTCTGCAGAAGGGAGGCGGCTGCTGCGCCAAGTGTGATGGCAGGATTTCTTCCCCAAAGCCCCGGGCCAGGCATCTAGCCATGCCTGCATCCCGCATGATTAACCGCCTTCTAACTGGAGCCTGCCCTCGCTCGCCCAGGAGGTTGCCGGATAGCGGGTAGATTGCAGCTGGGCTGAGCTGCTTCCCTGAGCCGACCTGAACCCTTCTGACCTCCATCTTGCGCAGCAGAACTGGCATTTGGTAAATGTGTGAGCTCAGGAGTGGGGCGAGAGAGACAAAAATGCCAAGCAGCACGGCTCAAATTGCTGAGAGGGTGGGAACAATCCCTAGGTGCCCCTGGGCTGGTCAGCTATACCATCTGACCCTGGAGACCTGGAAAATAGAAGCAGTTGGGGGACGCAGTGGTAATAGTCTGGCCACAGGTGCTCTGGCTTCAGAGCTGTGAGACTGAGCTTCAGGGTTTAGGCAAGAAGAGATTAATTAGCACCTCTAAACCCAGCCTGGTAGGTTCTGTAGAACTGGGAGGGGCTCAGAGTAGGAGAGCCTCAGGGCCAAATTCACCAAAAACAAATAGGCAGACCCATAATCCTCTAGAAATAGAATCTCCAACCTCCCTCAACCCCCAGCCCCTCTCCAGCCCAAATGACCTTGCTGTTAAGGATGAAGCCAGAATGAGGGTTTGGGCAGCTAGTAAACCTCACCTTCTTTGTCTCTGGGCCTTTAATATAACACTTTAGCAACATACTCATATTCAGAAGCTTTAGGGATTTTTTTTCCCTCATCCACCAGCTCCTAAATCAGAACCTTAAACTCTATGTAAAATAAACCTGGTACACATATATATATGTGGCCACAATGTGTAATCTGGGCCCCTGGTGGACACAGGATAAAAGGAGGGGAGGGGCAGATGTTTGGGGTGCAGTTAACACAGCAATAAGCACCCAGAGGAGAGCAAAAGGCCTTCCTGCCTCTCCTAAAGGGCAGGGGTGGAGATGAGTGACAGTGGGCTGGGGAGCCTGTTCTTACAGACTCAGCGGCCCCACATCTTCCCAGAGAGCACTCCCCACACACCCCTATGCTTCCTGTCTTCAGTCCTACACCAAGAAGGCCCATTCTCAGTGAACCCCCTGGAAGACAGATGCCTCTTGCTGTGTATAAGGAAAGATGCTCAAGGAGAGGACTGGGCGGGGTGCACAGCAGAACCCGGGTTTGGGGGAGTCCTTGAAGGTCAGCCTCTGCCTTCTAAGAGCTGTTGTTGGACCTGAGCTCCTCTAGACAAAGGAACAGCCATCTTGTTTTAGTGATTTTCAAAGACTGCTGCTATAACCCTCTAGGATTTTAAAGGAAAAAAATCTGATTAAAAATCCTTAGGCTAGTATGAATGTGTACTGCTGCAGGCTAAGTTTCGTGTATTTGAAGATCCAGATAAGGTTGCTGATGGAAAGATTTTATGTGCATGAGTGCATGTGTATGAGCGTGTGTGTTTTTAAGATAGAGAATTTAAAAAAAAAAAAAAAGAAAGATTTTTGTCTCCCTAGTGAAAATGGGGAGTGGACAGAAGGGAAAAAACAGAGCAAGGAGAGGTAGGAAAAGGCACACTTCCTGACAGCTCCTGAGGGCAGCTGTGTTTCTGGACAAGCTCCCATCGCTGCCATCAGAATTCTCAAAGTCAGGCTGACTGTGTCCCTCTGTGGGGATCTAAGGCAGATGCCACATTGTCCTGCATCCAGCAAACTCAGAGTCTGTGTTGTTCATTTAGTAGACATACCCATTACCCATCAATTCATCAATCAGCAGGTTTATTGAGTACCCTACCAGGCTTCGCAAACCTGATCAATTGTTTTTAATTACATCTAGTTCACATGCAGCCAAGCCCAGTAAACAAGATGAGCCCTCGCACCCCACTTGGAAATGAACATGAGGAATTGCTGGCCCTTCCAATCTCCCCTACTAAACACTGCAGCCCCTGGTGGCGAGCAGTCACGTGCTGCCCTGCACAGATGGCGATGGTGTCACTGACCCGCTGTCAATAAGAGGATGGGTTTGGAGTGTTTTCCCAGATGCAGTGATCAATCTGCTTGGGTCCAGCCACACTCTCCTCTAGACCCCTGTCTAGTGATATGGATTTCCAAAGAGAGTGAGCCAGCGAGTGGGCACAGACCGTGTCAAGGAAGATAAGCAGAGTGTCTGAGCCTCACTTGTCTTCCTCCACCCTGCTCTTAGTGCCCAGCTGGCTAGTCCAGGGGCTCCCAGACACCTCTCAGGAGGCCGACAGCTGGACTCTCCCAGCGCCTTTGTGCCTCATGCACCAGTGCTCAGGGGCCAGTTTACCGTAGTGTTTGAGAACTGCCGCATAGGTGGTAGTTGAAGGGCTTGTGCACTTCCAGTGGGGGGTCATCAGCTCAGCCTCTGCTGTAGGAGACGGCAGGAGTGCTGCCCTGGGACCAACAGAGCCCCCACAGACATCCTGTCACTGTCACAGCCCTGGGACCCGACATCAAGAGGGCCCAAAGCCTGTGTGTCCATCCTACATTTCAGACAGGATTCATGGGTCTTCTGCCTTCATAAGACTAGTTAATTCATTAGTTTCTAATCACCCTAGATCCATAGCCACCATCTGTTTGGGCCACACATACACACCCTGCCTGACCTCAGTACTCCCCCATCCACTTTTTCTTTCCCCATTTGAGTAAAATCAAGCTCAGGGGCAGCCCAGGGGCATTAGGAAATGCTCTGCCTAAGGGTTTAAACGCCTGGGTTTGGGTAAGTAAAGTTCCTTCATGCCAAAAGAAGTGCCAGGAATACACCCATCCCCCTAACCGCCCTGGAGTCCTGACTTTTCCACCTGCCCCAAGTGAAGGCTCCCACACCTAGAGATCAAATGTCCAGGACATCAGTTGGGTTGGTTGGTCATTTGGCCTCTGTGGCTCATGCAACAATTAATTCGCCTGTCTGGCTCTCTGTCTCTGTCCCTATCTGTGTGTGTATGTGTGCACCTGTGTGTGCCTTTCTGTCGGCTGTCTCTCTGCAGGGAAAGTCACTGGCGGGCAAGCGCCTCACCGGCCTGATGCAGTCCTCCTGACCGGGCCTGCGGACCCCACAGCTGGGCGGCGGCGATCCACGTCGGCAGACAGAGTTTCCTTACGAGGAGATTTGGTCACTGTGAAGGAGAAAGAGTGAGGGTGATGAAGGGTGACAGTGGGGAGACTTGGTGGGTGAACAGGGAGATCAGAAAGAAAGAGCCTGCGGTCGGCGGTGGAGGATCCTGTTTACAACCCCCCTTCCTTGCACAGTTGTGGTCCACCACCCTCTAAGGGCCCCTGACGCTAACTCCTTCCTGGGAGAACACCGTGTAGGCTCCTGTGGCGATTATCACTTGAGATTATGTTATCCTCACTCCTCCTGCTGTCTGGTCTGTGTGTGTGGGTCACACCTTCTGGCAAACTCAAGAGGGACAAGAGCACACCCAGTATTATCACCACCTCCCTGCCCTCTCTCTGGTGCACCCACCATAGTTATAGCTACCATGTCCCAGGTGCCACCTATCTTCCCCAAGTCTCTGCGGCCACCCCTGTATCACTCCCACATCAAATACCCACAGCACGTCCTCAGCACTAGAGCAGCCTCCTGGTTGGCCTCCCCTCCAGTTCTCCCCACCAGCTTGGAGACCAGCCTTCAGAGAGGTCTCTGCTAACATGGTGGCTGCCCTGTGTCTGGTCCTCTCAAATGTCTCAAAGGTTCAGCACTCAAGGAAGCACTGATGTAGAGGACAGAGCTTGTTTTCAACTGCTATTGAGGTTCTGATGACCATCCTTTAAAAATGGTTACTTCATAATCCATTCTGGCTTCTCCCCCTCGCTCTTCAGTTTGTTCCCTCCTGTTTTACTCAAAATAAACATGGCCGTGAACTCAGGGGCCATTGGGAGTGTCCCCTCTGGCAGCCCCAGGCGGGAGCTGGGAGGGTCCCCAGTCTGGGAGGAGGCTGGATTACAGGGTCAGCAGGGACCCTTGCAGGGTCACATGGCAATGGGATCTGAAGCTGTGGCTGAGCAGGCTATGGAGGGACCAGGCCAGGGCCACGTGGTCCTCTTCCCAGGCATCCTCACTAAACCAGTCGCCTGCAAAAGATCCACTTGTAGTCCCTTCGTGTGTGTGTGTGTGTGTGTGTGTGTGTGTGTGTCAAAGTGACTGCCAACGTAGCAGTGAGGGAGTGTTTGTAAAGCACCAAGTCAGGAGCTTGACGCTGAGTAGGTGATTAGCAAGCGGTAGTTAATGCTGTCATCATTGTCATTGTTCTCATTGTGACTCTGTGAGCCCAAAGACAGAGGCGGATTGAGTAACCTGTTTTGGAATTCAGACACTCAACCCCCCACTTGCTATGACTATATTCGCCTTTGATCTATTTTTGGCCGTAGGTAAAAAGTCTCCCTTGGGAGTGTATCAACAGGAAACATAGAAGCAAAAACATAATCACTGGTATTTCATCACTCATGTAGCCAAATTCACCAGCTGGTGGTGACCAAAGGCTTCTACCCTTGCTTGTCTGCAGTCCCAGCCCCTTGGGGACTCCCTGCGGCCCATCAGTCCTGCTCCCACCTCTGGGTCCTATCCAGGTCTGTTTCTACACAGCACCATCTCCAGGGCACAAGCCTTCCATCCTCACAGCAAAGCCACGCGGGTATTAGGGGTCTTCACGTCGCTGTATCCTCATGGGCTCTTGGCTATCATGCCTCAGTTTCCCCCACTGGCAGAGTGCTTCTTTCTCCAAGGTAGAGTGGAAACTAGAGATGGGCCATAGGTTGAGTCTTCTGAGGGTCTCCAAAGGCAGAACCGTAGACCCAGATTCCTGCCAGCCATGCACACGCTGGCACAGAAGCTGGCCCTCCACAGGCCACGTGATGAGCGAATGAATGAAATGAAGCCCCCTCCCAAGTCATGGGGTTTTTTACTTCCCCCCGCCTCATTCTGCCCTCCCTTATCCCCTTTCTCTTTACACAAACCTTCTATTTAAGAATGACATTGCAGTCCGTGTTGATCTTCCCCCAACATTGTCCCCCAAAAGCTCTTCCTTGCCTGGGACCCCAGACTGGGCTGACACCCAGGTGTAGGCTATGACAAAGGGTGTTCCCAAGCCGCAGACACCTCTGCACCCTCAGTTACCCAGGGCAAGGGCCAGGCTTCCCTCGCCCCGCCCCGTGGGCTGCGGGGGCCGTACTAAGTCAGGCTGTAGACACAGCAGGGCTGGCTTCCCTGGCATGACTCCTGTGCTTCCTTCTCCCGCTGACCCAGCCTTACCCTGGAGGTCCCCAGAGGGCCAGTACCAAGAGCCAAATAGACTATGGCCCTGAGATGGAGTGAGCTAAAGGCTTCCAGACACCTCTGGGGACATCCAGATAGGGCAGGGTCAATAGAGCTCATAGAGGTAAGGACACCTCAGATGGATTCAAGCCCAGAGCAATAACCCCGTCATACCCATCCCCCAACTAAGGCCCACTCAGCCCTGGAACCACCACCATGTGCTCCCCAGGAGATCAAGCAAGAGGCTTGCAAGAAAGGTATGGAACAGGCTGTTCCACCCAAGTTGGCCAGTCCAAGGTGAGTCTACCATGCACACCTTGTCATGCACTTGGAAAATCTGGTCTTGGCCAGTTCCCTACCAGCCAGGTCTATGCAGCCAAAGATTCAGACTAGATTAGAATTTTGAAGGCAGTTCTGTAGCAAAGCAGATCCTCCTGCCCTCTAGAAGCTGCCTTAGATCCCTGACTGGAGGTGGTCTCTGGCCTGGGACTCATCCCTGTGAGGGCACACAGGGCAAACATCATTTTGGCAGCCCCGCAGCTGGAGTACGAGGGCAACCCTCGCGAGTGACCACCTGCCCCTCAGGTCAGACACACAAGGCGCCAGGCGTTGGGCATCTGACTGAAATACACTAAAGGGGAGAGCAAAAGACATAAGCCAGCGCATTCAGCTGCACGACAGCAACCAGATGGCCCGCCCCACACCGCAGGAACTCTCTGGGCTGGGGAAAGGCTCCTGCCCTTCCAGAAAGTGATGCATCAGCTTTGTTCTCCTGGGAAGGTGTTGCTGCTCCCCAGGAACAAAGCTGGGCCCAGCGCCAGTGCAGTCAGCTGGGCCCATGCTCCAGGGTTGCCACTGCTGAGTAGGCCCATACCAGGCCCGTGCCCTGGGAGGGACCTCTCACAACTCTTGAGTTGCTGCTTGGACTAGCTGAACACATGGGGACGTGCGCCAGGGACTTTTTCCCTGGCAGGATTCCTGGTATATTCAAACTACCTCACCAACAGGACACTGCACCAAGAGCCTGCCATCCGATGGGCTCCCTTGCTGTGCTGGTTGTGGAAGACGATGCTGTTCCTAAAATGCATCCCTCCCGTCCTGTTCCAACTGTGTGGGCTTCAAAACCACCACCAGGAAGCCTTTCCAGAAGATGGAAAGGACTGAGGTCTGCTGTCCTTTGAGCCTCGTGGAATGCCTTATAGGGAAGTGTCCCAGCAAGGTGCAGGAACTGGGAGCCCTGGGGGGGAGATAATGTGCCACCAGTCTCTAAAAGGACCTGCCCACACTGAATACAGAGCAAGGGCCGTGGCATAAGTCGAATAGTGGCCAAACGAATCACTAATAACTCACCATGGGGCCCTCTGAAGAGAGGACTGTGCTGGAGTAACCATGGCAACAGCAGATGCCAGCAACCTACTCATTAGAAGCACCCTGTGATAAGGCATGCCCTGGGTAAGACCCAGGGGCCCTAAAGTAGCGAAGTAGCAAATGTAGCAATAAGGGGCCTGAGGCCATCCAGGGACAGGGCCCAAGTGACCCGGCCTCAGCCCTCTCCCCAGCCCCAGGGAGGGCTCAGAGCCAACTGCTGTCAGCTGCTCCAGGGTGCGGCCCTGCTCCACACCACAAGCCCCTGTCCTAGATGCTAAGCCCGCTCACCGCATGATCACGGACACGTCGGAATGGCCTCCCCATAGTGCATGTGGTTCACATTAGTTTATTTTTCTGGAATTTGGGGATTGGACCCCAGAACCAAACATGCTGGTACAGTCTAAAAATAAATGACTTGAACTATGATCCAGTAACTCTGTGTGGCTCATTGGTCTGAGGGTTTGTTGGGCAGGACTTACCTCTAGGAAAAAAATAATAAACTACTTCCCTCCCCAGGCTGCCTCCCTCTCTCTCTTTCTCAAACACACACACACAGACACGAGCCTGTTTCCATCTCACTTCCAACAAGATGCTAAGGATCTCAGAAAAGCGTATCTCTGGGGTGTCAGACTCCTCCTGGATGGCTAGGACAGTGGTGGCTGGGACAAGGAGACTTGCTAGGGTCTCCTTGGCTGGATGGCCTCTAAGCCCCCATGTCTATGCTCAGGTGCAAAGCCCTGTGACTGCTCTGACACCCTTTTTTAAATAAAGTCCCAGTATACAAGTCTGCTGCATACAGACGGTGCTCCTTACAGGGAGTCTTGGTTTCCTGAGCGACAGACAATTTCATTTCCCACTCACGCTCAAGCAGTGGGACTCTGAGAATCAGGCTGACAAGAGGAGGACGAGAGAAGCAGAAAGGGAATGCCATACTGCTATCCCTCCAGGACCACTATCCCTCTAGTACCAATGAGGCTGGCACCCAGCAGCATATGTCAGGGGCAAAAAATTTGCACCCAAAGGCAGAAATGACGTCAGAGGCATGGAAATCTGAAGGCACATATGGTTGGCAACCAACTTGTCTCTCATTCCCAAGGCCACCTCCTCAAGCAGGACTTCCTGCCCCACAATACCAAGATCAAGGTCACAATTGCCGTCTCCATAGTGTTTCCCTGATGTCAAATCCTGACCGCCCACAGAAGAGCCATGTTTCTCTGTCCTCTTTGACCATGGCCACCACTTCCAGGGAACCTGGAGCTCCTCCTACCCAGCTGGACCCTCTGGCTTATTTCCAGAATCTCTGTTTAGCAAGCTGTTGCCGTGTGTGCACACAGTCCCTCTGCCCACCAAGCGCAGAGGGCTGCTTTCAGGTCCAGGGCTGAGGTAGAGATTTGGGGCTACAGTTACACTGTCTGCAAGCTGGCCTGACAATTCCTCTCTCCCTACACCCTCCGGGGACTTTCGGCAAAACAGGCATGCTGCTGCCCTTGCCCTGGCACCAGCTTCCAGTTGTTTATGCGTCCCAGCATCGGAGGGACCAGCAGAGCTTCAGATAAGAGTCTCAGATCCTAAGACTGCCCTTGGGCTGTGGCACCCTCTAAGCCTGGGTGGCCCTTTGACTGACAGGTCCCCTCCTAGGCCTGCAGAGCTCTGCCCCA